ACAATTAGAGAGCAGTGGAGCCTACAGGTATCTGAGCCTGAAGGTGGAGTGGGAGGATCCACCTGGTTACCTAGAGATGTGAGCTCTCACTGAGCCATTTAGTTGCCTTGTGACCTTGGTTGGGCCCTCTGCCCTCTGAGTCTCAGTCTCTCCACTGGTAGAATAGAGGGGGTGGGCTGTCAGGTCTCTAAGGGTCTTCCCATCTCCTTTGAGTCTCAGCCCATCCATCAGCCTATACTCTTAGACCCCTGCCAGGCCCCACAGGCCTCCTGGGGCCCTGTCATGGCCAGGCTGGACAGTCACCATCACTGTGGCTGCCACTTCCACATCTCCGGGATGCCTGGCCGTCATCAGCCTGCAGAAGAGGTCCCTGAGTCCTGCCGGAAGGGGCGGGAGAGGTAGAAGCAGAGGATAGGGCTGACAGCGCAATTGGAATAGGCCAGGATGGTGCAGAGACTGGAGGCTACAAAAGCAGCTGGTGTGGCAGGCAGGTGGCCCATGGCTGCCACGTAGCCCAGCACGGAGCAGGGCCCCCACATCAGCACAGAAACCACCAGCACCACAAGGATGAGCCCTGTGTTCTCTTGATGCTCCTGGATGCTCTCTCCCATGGGACCTCGGGGCTGTGTCCACAGGAGCCAGCCCATGTGGCTGAAAGAGCAGCCCAGCCCCAGCATGCATGGCAGGAAGGCCAGGGCTCCCAGCAGGCTGAAGTAGCAGGAGGTCCCAGCAGGGTTCAGGAGCAAGAGGCAGGCCTGGGTCTCGGGACCCCCCACTGTCTCCTCCTCCACTGCCACCCTCTGGAACAGCCAGTGGGGCAGGGATGCGGTAAGGCCCAGGGCGCACGTGGCCCCACAGAGCAGCAAGCAGCTGCCCCAGCTGGCTGGGAAGTCCAGGCCAGGCAGGGCCACAGCCACGTGGTGCAGGAGAGCCGTGGCCACCATGCTATAGAAGGTGCAGAACATGGTGGCTAATGGTGCAGATGGCAAGGCCCAGCCACCAGTCGTGCTGCAGGAAACTCAGCAGCAGCACAGGCACCACGCAGGCCACGAAGAGCAGGTCAGATAGCGTGATGTTCACCATGAGGTTTCGGGTCAGGGTGTGGAGCGGGTGGGGGGCGCCCAGGTCCCAGCCCACTACTAGCAGCATGAGCCCATTAGCCTACAGCCCCACCAGCAGGACAAGGCCACAGACCCCGGCAAAGATGAGTCGGAGCAGTCACTCAGGTGTGGCCGTGAGCTGCGTGTCAAACGTGGCATTGGGCTCCATTCTCCTGTTTCAGACACACAAGGACAAAGTAGAAACCAGTCAGCCCCAAAGGCCGCCTTCCCCGTTCCTGCTGAGCCTCCTTTTCTCACAGACCCCTACATGTAGTGGGCCCAGATGCATGCCTGTCCTTGGCACACATTAGCCCCTGCAGACCTCATGACAACCCCATGGGATGGACTCCATCAGTGCCCTGGGTTCAAATCCTGCCTCCGCTACTTGCTAGCTCCAGTACCCCGGGAGTTATTTATTTATTTATTTAGAAACAGAGTCTCACTCTATCACCCAGGCTGGAGCGAGATCTTGACTCACTGCAAACTCCACCTCCTGGGTTCAAGTGATTCTCATGCCTCAGCCTCCTAAAGTGCTGGGATTACAGGCCTAAGCCTCTCCCCCTGGCCCCTGGGAGAGTTACTTAATGTTTATCTACCTCAGTTTCCTCAGCTGTAAGAAAGCAAGGAAATAAAAGAAATAAAACAGATGTCGATAGTAACAGTCATAAGTGATAAGACTAGGATAATTTTCATTTTCTTCTTTAAAATTTACTTCTAAAATTTCTGCAAGGAGTACACATTGCTTTCATAATCTGATAAATACATATGTGCATACGTACATACACACATGTATCTATTTTTTGACAAAACCCTGCCCTGTGAAACAAGCAGGTTTAATCTGAGGTTCAAATGGGAAAGTGGGTCTGAAAGGGCTTTGAGAAGGTGTGAAGCCCCTCCCAGTGGTTCCCAAGCATCTCTGCACATTGGGACCACCTGGGGAATTTCACAAATACAGAAACCTGGGTCCCACCCCCAGAGACATGACATAGTTGGTCTGGGCTTTGGCATTTTTGAAAGATCCCAAATAATTCGAAGGGCAGATCAGCTTGGGAATCACCGCCCTCTAGGTTATGCTGTGCAGGCCCCTGGCAGGATGGGGGAGTCTGCGCCCAGCGGTCAGACCTTTCTCCTCACCCCAACTGTGTCCCACATGTTAAGGGCAGGGGGAGCCCCCGACTGGGAGGACTCTGGCTAGAAGATGGAGTGTAGACATACTAGAGTCAGCCTAGTGGCTGACGTCACCACTGGCCGCCCTGCAGGCCAGGCCAGGGCCCGGGAGCTTTAGCTGGAGAGAGGCTTGCCTGCTAATTCAGTACATATTTCCTGAGCATTTGCTCTGGACCAGGTTCCGGGAATCCAGCAGCAAACAAGACACAGCAGAGGAGTCCTCATTGGAGTTGCCCTCCCCTTTTCTCCCACACTGGGGTGGGGACTGGAGACACCCTTCTCCTGCAGGCTCAAAGCCAGGTTTGAAGGAGTCTCTGAGTCCCTCCTGCAGAGCCCCAGCCTGGGGGACTTAGCTTGGTCTCTGGGGCCCCAGGGCAGCAACGTGCCTGAGGGCAGCTGAGGAGGGACTGGAGAGGGGGCCTCTGTGAATTCTGATGTCGACCACCCTCCCAGGCCCCACCGGCTCCCGGGACTGCAGGAGGAGGGGAAATGAAGGACCTGTCCTGGATGAAGGCTGTCCTCCAGCCACTTTCCTGGCATTTGTCACTGCCTTTTTGTCACTTTTTCCTGGTCCACACCCACCAATGACATGGACTATTACTGGAGAGGAATTGGCAGGGAGCAATACGAGGCTTCAGGGACCTGGCCCCTGCTTCCCGGAAGCATCCACATTTTCCCGTAAGCAGTTGCATAACTTCAGGGCTAAGTCTGTGGGTACCGGCATTTGGGTTTAACACCGTTTCCAGCACTTACTTGCTACGTGACTATGGAGAAGTTACTCAGCCTCCCTATGCAGTACTCTCCTCTTCTGTAAGATTGGGGAACGCCTGATGGTGTGAGGGCTAAATGAAGTAACAAGAGCTAAGTGCTCAGAACAGTGCCTGGCATGCGGTAGGCACTGGGTAAAGGAGGGATGTCATTCTGCCCCTGCTCCCCCTCAGTTCCAAAAAGCCCTCTTCTCTTAGAGCTCCTGCCCAGCCTTCCTTCTCTCCCCCTGCCCTCCCTTCTCACTCAGCAGCCTGAGTCCCATCAGCCCAGTCCCACCCTCCTTTTCTTAATCAGACTCTGGCTAAGCCTAAGCCAGAGCCCCCTTGGCTGACATGCCCCAAGAACTCACCACTTGCCTGGAAGTTCACTCTGAAGTCTACCTCAAGTTTCTCCTGCTGCTGTCGTTGCCTGCTGTATGCTACTCTGAGGTTTCTGGGTCCTGTTCTCTAGTTTGTGAGCCCTTTGACAGTAGGAAAGGCTGGTGGTCCTTGCACAGTTGTGCCCTGCCCAGCAGGTGGATCTGGCCCAAGAAAGCCAAAACAGGGTTCTGGGCAGTGTGCAGTTTCTCCCAGAACTCCACCTCCTGGGAATCTGAGTTGTCTGAGGCCAGAGTAGAGCTGAGATGAAATGGGGAGGCCTGGGGGCCGCTCCTGGACCAGGCCCCCAAACGACAGGGGCTATGTCTGCTCTACTGCCTCTCCCAGGAATCACACCCTGCCTATCTGCCTCATTAACTCCCTGGCCCACAGGACAGAGATGTTGGTGCCTGCCAGGTCCCTGGGCCCCAGAGAAAGAGCCATTAGCAACTACAGGACCTGTCTCCCATCCTCACCCAGGGCCAGCATCACTCACTCCAGACCACACCCCTCTCTCTCTGAGCACACCACAGTCTAGAAACTGCTCAGTTCAGGGGTAGGCTTGTGGGCCGTGGGAGGGGACCTGAGATGGGAGAAGACATTGGGGTAAAAAAGGATCAGTGAAGCGCCCAGTAAAAGAATCAGCTAGAGGGCCGGGCGCGGTGGCTCACGCCTGTAATCCCAGCACTTTGGGAGGCTGAGGTGTGCAGTTCATGAGGTCAGGAGATCGAGACCATCCTAGCCAACATGGTGAAACCCCGTCTCTACTAAAAACACAAAAAATTAGCCGGGCATGGTGGCGGGTGCCTGTAGTCCCAGCTACTCGGGAGGCTGAGGCAGGAGAAGGGCGTGAACCCAGGAGGCAGAGGTTGCAGTGAGCCAAGATTGCACCACTGCACTCCAGCCTGGCGACAGTGTGAGACTCCGTCTCAAAAAAAAAAAAAAGAAAAAAAGAAAAAAAGTATCAGCTGGACCGTGGGAATCATCCACTTGGAGTCTGGAGGTTGAATGGGGTCCGTTAAGGGAATCTAATCCAACTTTGGTGGATTCCGATGCTGGGATCTTCTCTACCTCACCTTTTGCCAAGTATTACCTAGCTTCTGCTTGTGTGCCTCTAGTGAGGGAAGGCTCACTGCTGCTGAGACGTTCCTTTCAGAACTGAGAAGAGGGGTTGGGGCCAGGGTCTAAGACTGTGTGATTCAACAGGCCTCTGTTGTTCCCTCTTTCTCCTTCATTCTCTCTCTAACTCTGTTCCTTGAACTGTCTTTGCTTGTCCCTCTATGGGGTTTCCATTGATTCAGCCAGGAAATTCCCCAGTACCTGAAGGATTACAAAATACCAAACTCAGGCTGGGGGCGGTGGCTCACGCCTGTCATCCCAGCACATTGGGAGGATCACTTGAGCCCAGGAGTTTGAGACCAGCCTAAGCAACATAGCAAGACCTTGTCTTTGCAAATAACTAAAAAATTAGCAAGGTGTGGTGGCACGTGCCTGTGGTTCCAGCTACTTGGGAGGCTGAGGTAGGAGAATTACTTGAGCCCAGACAGTTGAGGCTGCAGAGAGTGGCGATCACGCCAATGCACTCCAGCCTGGGCAACAGAAAGAGACCCTGTCTCAAAAAACAATCAAACAAACTCAGTGCCTGGCACATGTTGTCTATTCAATTTGTGATGATGGTAAGATGTGACAGACACACAAACACAGACCATGGCAGTCTCTCTAAGACTCTAAAGCAAGCTCTCCGAGGGCACCGGAAACCCCAGCCCTGGCCGATAAGGTGCAGCCGCCATTCAGGAGGTGAATATTGTGGAATTCCGGAAACTTCTGCAAAAGCTCCAAAGAAGAGTGTGTGAATGATTCTGAGTCTAGGCTCCCCAGCTGTTTGGACCCCCAGCCACACCCTAGTTGCCCTTCAAATACATCCAGAGACTGACAACTCAGGCCGAAGCCCTGTGCTTGGGGACACCGTGGCATTGGAGCAGGGGATGGGACCCTCGAATGTGACCCCTGTGAGGTGTGTTTCGTATCATGGGGAAAGGGAGTGAGGTCGGGGCTCTGCAAGACAGGAGGGCATCAGGGCATATCAGAGGCCTTCGGATCATCACTCTTCCCAGGAACCGAAGAAAGCCCATCCTTGTAAATAGAAATAGCGAGGGAGACCAGGCCAACAGCGCCCTGCCAGGCAGAGCACAGAGGGACCGCTCTAACACTGAGCGGTGATTAACAGGTTACACCAATTAGGAGCCAGCAGCACCCAAGGGAGCTCCTTGGAAAGTTTCTCTCCTCCTCCTCATCTCTTTTTTTCTGATTATGTAATGAATATCGTTATTGTTGAAAATCTGAAAATACAAATATGTGTAAAATCGAAAGTAACACCCCCACACACACATTCTCGCTATAATTTTATCACCCACAGATGTGTGGCCAATATTTTGGTGTATTTTCCTTACGTTGTTTTTCCAGACTTTTTCTTTCTTTGGAGAGTTTTGCCGTACTCCTGCCCCCCAAGTCTTGTTCACTCAACAAAGCCCTCCTTTGGAGTTTGAAAGGCAGAGGTGATGCAGCCCTGCTTTGGGATCCGAGTCCTGATTTGAGAAGGGTTTTCCTGAACCTCCAAGCTGGTCCTCTGTTTCGTTGCTGTCCAGGAACGAAGAACAGGAGCTGAGGGACAGGAAACCATGCGGGCGTCCATCCTACCCGGGACAGGACAAGTGGTCAGGAGCAACAACCGAATTTCTTGGGCTGCTTCTTGGGGGTCACCTCCACCAGCGAGCCCTTCAGGCCTTCTTCTTGCATCCTCAGTGACCTATGTGACAATGCCGAGCATCAGTCCTCTCTCTCACCTCCTAGGGGCGGCATAGATGGGCCCATGGGTGCAGCCGGGGGCTGGGAGGCTGCGCCCGCAACCCCCACACCAGCTCTGCCTCTGCCCTGCTTTCCACATGAGACCAGAAGAATTGAGTCCCTGAGACTCTGACCTTCTCTTTCTGGCCTACTATGTGCCAGGCACTGTGCAGGACTCTGACCACGACAGAGAAACCACTCTTCCCTCCCTTGAGTAGTGAGAGAGACAGACAGGAAAAGGGGTGACTGCAGCCCAGGAATGATGGGGAGGCATGCAGGGACTTCACACCAGGTCCTGGAGGGATCTGGGGAGGAAGGAGATGGTGACTGAACTGAAAACTGAGCCATGGACAAGGTTTGCCAGCAGAAAGGATGGGGGAGGTGCATCCCGGGCAGAGGGCTATGGCTCAGTGCCAAGAGAGAGCTTGGGGACTGGGGAAGCAAAAGAAGTCCCTCCCTTTCTTCATGATGTATTTACTGCATGCCAGACGGTGCCCATCTGATCTAGCTCCCCTCATCCCTCACTCACTGTATTCGTTTTTGGAGCACCTGGGTCCCAGGCATGGGGAGAGGGACTGAACAGAACAGACATGGCCCTGCCTTCCTGGACAACAAGAAAACAGATAAATGCATATACCATTAATATGTGTCGTGTCAGGAAGGGCCATGAAGGACACAAACAGGGGCTGGGATCCAAAATAGTGGTGGGAGGTGGGTGATCAGGGAGGGAGTCTCTGAGTGGCTGGAACTTAGTGAGTGTGTGTGTGTGAGTGTGAGTGTATGTGTGAGAGAATTAGAGTCTGTGTGGGTGTGAGTGAATGTGTGTGTGTGTGTGCAGGGGTACGGGAGATGGCACTAGAGATGCTGCAGGCCGTTGCAAAGCATTTGAATTTCATTTTAAATCCATGGAAGCTACTAGAAGTTTGGGAGCAGAAGAAAGACACTCCTTTTCTCAGCCCTCTTTGCAAATGAAAAAACTGAGGCTCCGAGAGCCTAAGTGCCTGTGGGGAGTGATTCAGCGAAAGGGAATGGCAGAGCTGGAATCAGGAGACTCAGTGCAGGGCTCTCTCTCCCCGCTCAGACTGGTGAGCCAAGGTCTTTAACTAGATGCTTCCCTGACCCATTTCCTCAGAATGGGCCTTTCAGTCCCACTGGGAGTCAAGAATGGGGCTGGAGCTGTCCCAGAGGATTCGGTGGGGCGGTGGGGGGTGGGGGTGGGGCGCGGCATGGGGCGGGTGGGGGGTGGGCAGCACTTACCTGGCCAGGTTTACCACAGGCTCCAGGATGTTGTGACCCAAGGCGGCACTGCACTCCCCAAAAGAGACCCCCAGTTCCTGCAGGCCAGACAAGGAGGGGCATATGTGCCTTGGGAGAGACAACTGCAAGGCCAGGCCATACCCCACCGCTAAAGTCCTGGCCATCAGAGTCCCAACGCATCCCTAAGCCGACCTCAGTGGCGAGCAGGACAGCCCCATCTCAGCGTGGGCCACCATCCCTGGCTGAAGCCCTTTGCCCACTGTCCCTTCACCCCGGCTGGCCAAGGTGTCAAAGAATGCACTGAAACGACACTTCACAGCCTTCGGAGTAGCGTGGGAAGCCTGCATCCCAACTTGGAGAAAGGTCTCTGGAGACACTTTATAAATGTTAGTTATGTTTTTTAATTTCAAAAATATTTCATTGGGAGAATATTGGAAGATACAGTATAAGAAAGTACACGCTCAATATCTAAACCACTGCTGTTAGTGTTGGGGTAGATATTGCCATTCTGTTTTATATAACCCTTTTATGGGGCGGGGGCTAAATGTCCTGTACAGTTAGATTAAACCAGATGAAATTGCTATTTTTGGGATGCCCCAGTCAAATATCAGCAATTTCATATGTTTCAACCTAACCTATATCTAGATTTGTAGCTGCTTATATGATTTTCTATTATATTGTAAGCATTTTCCCCACAACCTTAAATATTTTTCCAAGACGGGATTCTTAATGGCAAATACCTTTCGTATGAACATCCACAATTTAACCACCAATTGCTGCCAAATGTTTGTTCTTATAAATAATATTTGAAAGCCCTCATATAAACATGTGCGATTGTACGTTATACATGGGTATCCATTAGGTGTTCCTTTAGGGATTATTACTTCTGAGTCTTCCCTTAGGATAAATTGCTAGAGGATAAATTACTATGTCAAAGGGTTGAGTTACTACTTTTAAGAAAAAGGCCGAGCACAGTGGCTCACGCCTGTAATCCCAGCACTTTGGGAGGCTGAGGCAGGCAGATCACTTGAGGTCAGGAGTTCCAGATCAGCCTGGCCAACATGGCAAAACCCCGTCTCTACTAAATATACAAAAATTAGCTGGGCTTGGGGGCGCTCTTCTGTAGTCCCAGCTACTAAGGAGGCTAAGGTGGGAGAATCGCTTGAACCTGGGAGGCGGAGGTTGCAGTGAGCCGAGATCATGCCACTGCACTCCAGCCTGGGCGACAGAGCAAGATTCCAGCTCAAAAAAAAAAAAAAAAAAAAAAAAAGAAAAAGAAAAAAATTCCTTTCAGGCAGGAGCCACAATGATGACCTCACGACTTATGGGAAGTAGGAAGAGAAACAGGAAGAAAATACGGTATGAAAACGCCAAGAGGGGTTGCGTGAGAGGTGGGGCGAGGAGTGATTTTCCCCTCTATTTTTATTCTCTCCAGATTTTCTGGAATGTGGTTAAATGCTATTCATGAATAAATAGTATTCACTGTCTGGCAGTGGAGCTTTTGATGTAATCATCCCAAGGGAGAATTTGAGTCTTAAAATAGGAGAACTTAGAAGGCAGCACGTTAATTAGAGACCAGAGATAAAATTAAAATTTGATTGGGAATTTTAAGCAAAGCTTTTAAAACCTTTTTACTCCGAAGCTCTTTCTTATGTAGGTGGGGACGTGGTGTGGGAATGTGCTAATTCAACAATGAGGTTCAGTATCACCCCCGCCACTCCAGCCTCGGGTTTGGTCTTAAAGCACATCTCCAGAGGCCGGGGCTGTGTGGGAGGCAGAGGCGGCCAGGCTGCTGTTCGCTCTGAGCAGGCCTTTGGTTGGGGCAGGGGCAGGAATGGGCCATGGGTTCTTCTCGGCTGCCCAGGTCAAATGACGCCTATCCACTACCCGCCAGGGAGGCGTCTGCCCGGTCCACACGCAGAGACGGGCTGATGCCCCAGTGCTTACCCGAGCCAGTTGCTGCCCAGCTTCTGTGGACACTTGCCGTTCTTCCTCACAGTCCATCTTGTTTCCCAGGAGAAGGATGACCACCCCATCCGACCCTGCGTCCTGCACACAGAACATGTTCTCTCAGCCACAACCACTGTGTGCCAGGCTCCTGGCACATTTGCCCTCCTAGAAGCTGAAGTGTGTCCCCCATGTTCCCACTCTCAGGCCACATCCACTCCATATCCTTCTCACCTGGACCCTTTCCCCCATCCTTCCTTTCTGCTGATAAACATCTCACCTGTTTTCCAAGGCCAACCTTAAGAATACCTCCCCCAGGAAGCCTTCCTGGATTGTTCCTGCCCATGCCCTCGCTTCCTGCCTGTGTTGAACAGTCCAGCACTTGATTATACATTTTCCCAATTGTTTCATGAATAATAATAATAGTTTCTGATTAATGAGTGATTGTTATACACCAGGTGCTATGCTGAAATCAATTATATCAGTTAATCCTCACAGCTCCCCTATGAAAGAAGTCAGGAAATTGAAGTTCAGAGAGCTCAATTCAACTGTCCAAAGTCACAGAGTTGGGGTGGGTGGGATTCAAATCTAGGTCCTGTCAGACCCCAGTGCTCAGCTCTCCTCTTCACACATTACCTTATCCCGCTTCTTTTGCTAAACTAGAAACTTCCAGAGAGAAGACAACATGGCTAACTTCATACCCCTCTGCTGTGCTAGTACACACTGCAGAATTTCAGTATATATGCTTTGAGGAAGTATGCAGGGGAAAAACTAGAGATGTGTGAACAGAGGAATTATCACGTGGCATGGCACTAGAACTACATTAGCCTCAAGTGTAAGAAGAAGACACTATAAACAGAGCTGCCATATGTAGGAAGAGAATGTTCAGAGGATAAAGGAAGTAGTTTTGTTTGAAGGCTATACTATGTGGTTGTCGTTTCTTTGTACTACTGCATTCCCAGCTCATCCAACCACGTGCCCTCAGTGGGTGGTGTCACCCATATGTCTGTCATGTCGTTTGTAATCCTAGGAGAAAAGAGGGAGTGGCAGGATATAAGGTCCCTCTTGACTGGAGGGACTGGGGCCAACCCCAGCAGCCATCTGCTCACCTGGAGACAGTCTAGCCAGTAGCGCACGTGGCCAAAGCTCTCCTGGGAGGTGATGTCGTACATGAGCACTACCCCATCAGCCTTGCGGAGCAGCTGCCGCGTCATGCTGTGGTACCTGCCCAGAGAGTCTGCATGAGGCCACACCAGGCATCCCGACCCCAGGTCCTGGCCTCTGCAAAGTGGGAGAAGTAACCTATCCTACTTCTAATTGCTTCCCACAGAGCACGTCTGTATGCTTTCCTTCGTACGGTGTAGTTCTTGTTGACGAGGTAACAGTTCTCATGGCCCAAATTTCAAAAGGTCTCAAGGAGAACTCAGTGAAAAGTCTCCTTCCTTCTGCCCCATCCTGGAGCCACCTAGTCCCCCTCCCCAGAGGCAACCAGGGTTATCAGTTTCTTAAATATTTTTCCAGAGGTATTTTATGTATATACATATATATGCACACACATATATACACCCGTACACATACATCTTTCCGCCTCTATTTTATACAAATACAGTGTAAAACATTCATCATACTCATTAATATTCAGTGTTCTGCATTTTGGTTTTTTCCAGTTAACAGGATGTCTTAGAGAAATTTCCCTATTGGGCTGGGTGCAGTGGCTCACGCCTGTAATCCCAGCACTTTGGGAGGCTGAGGCAGGAGGATCATTTGTGGTCAGAAGTTCCAGATTGGCCTGGCCAACATGGTGAAACCCCGTGTCTACTAAAAATACAAAAATTAGCTGGATGTGGTGGCGTGTGCCTGTAGCCCCAGCTCCTCAGGAGGCTGAGGCACAAGAATCACTTAAGCCCTGGAGGCGGAGGTTGCAGTGAGCTGAGATCACGCCACCACACTCCAGCTTGGGCAACAGAGCAAGACTGTGTCTCAAAAAAAAAAAAAAAAAAAAAAAAAAAATCCCTATTAGTACATAAAGACAGTCCTCAGTCTTTGTGTGGCTTTACAGTGTTATATTGGGTGGACTGACCCCACTTTATCTAACTGGTCCCCTATTGATAGACATTTAGGTTGTTTCCTATTTTAATAACACAAGTGATAATATTACGAATGGTCCTGGTCCCTTTGTTATTATAGCCATATATGAGTCTGTCTATAGAATAAATTTCTAGATGTGGAACTGCAGAATCAAATAAGATATGCCTTTTAAGTTTTGATTACTGCCTGGTGCAGTAGCTCATGCCTGGAATCCCAGCACTGCAGGAAGCCGAAGCAGGCAGATCACAAGGTCAGGAGTTCGAGACCAGCCTGGCCAATATAATGAAACCCCATCTCTACTAAAAACACAAAAATTAGCCAGATGTGGTAGTGGGCACCTGTAGTCCCAGCTACTCAGGAGGCTGAAAACAGGAGAATCGCTTGAACCCAGGAGGTGGAGATTGTGGTGAGCCCAGATCGCGCCTCTGCACTCCAGCCTGAGCAATAGAGCGAGACTCCATCTCAAAAAGAAAAGAAAAAAAAGTTTTGATCACTTCTGCCTAGGTTGAAAGTAGAAGACCAGCATTTTCAGAAGGACAGGTGATTCGGTGGCTGTCCACTAATGACCATGTTGGGACAGCCCTAATATATGCCCTGCCAGGCTGAGGGACCTCTGGCTCTGCTGTCCTCTCTCCCCTGCCTTGGGCTTGATTCATCTCTCCTTCCCTGACCTCCTGAATCCTCAGGGGGCAGTTGCCTCCTGCCCATGTTATTGGGGCTGCTGTGTGTCCCTCTGCACCCCTACACTCAGCCTAGTTCCTGATACCACTGATACACATTGCCTGTTACCTCTCTTGGCCAGCCGTGTCCCAGAGCTGCAGCACAAAGCACTTGTTGTCCACCAGCAAGGTTTTGACCCGAAAATCTACTCCTAGGACACATAAAGAGGGGTGAAGCCTACTAAGTTACCATCCAGGACTCCTAACCAAGGCCTACCCCAGTATACACCTGTTCCCTGTACCAGCTGCAGTGCGATAGAGCCCTTGGCTGCTGGGCTTCCCTTCCACTCTGCATTCCACCCGTCCTCGAGGACCCACTTTCTCCAGGAAGCCTTCCCAGACCTCCCTGCCATACTGGCAGTTTGTGCCAACCCAAGGCACCTTGTCTACGATGTTTATTCCTTAGGTCACCCAGAATACAAGTTTCATTATTTTATTTTTACACTACTCCTTTTTCCATTCCCTAATTATCGCATGCACCTTCCCCTCTCAACCAGACAGCAGGGGAGACAAGCAGCCCAGAGGGGCATAAGGAATGCTGACTTCAGGCCACTGTTACACTGGTTACAGGACCTCAGGCAAGTCATTTCACTTCTGTGAGCCTCTCTTTCCTTGTCTGCAAAGTGGCAAATTAGAAAGATGTACACTGCAGAGTGGTTAGAGGATTAAAATGCTGTTTTAATCAGATTTAATCAGCCGGGTGTGGTGGCGCACGCCTGTAATCCCAGCTACTCGGGAGGCTGAGGCAGGAGAATCACTTGAACCCGAGAGGCGGAGGTTACAGGGAGCCGAGATCCCGCCACTGCACTCCAGCCTGGGCAACAAGAGTGAAACTCCGTCTCAAAAAAATAAATAAATAAATAAGGCCGGGCGCAGTGGCTCACGCCTGTAATCCCAGCACTTTGGGAGGCCGAGGCGGGCAGATCACGAGGTAAGGAGACCGAGACCATCCTGGCTAACACAGTGAAACCCTGTCTCTACTAAAAATACAAAAAATTAGCCGGACGTGGTGGTGGGTGCCTGTAGTCCCAGCTACTCGGGAGGCCGAGGCAGGAGAATGGCAGGAACCCGGGGGGCGGAGCTTACAGTGAGCGGAGATCGCACCACTGCACTCCAGCCTGGGCGACAGAGCGCCTAAAAAAAAAAAATGCTGTTTTAAGTGAGCAGACCCAGAAAAGAGGATAAAACTTCTGGTGTGGAGGCAGGGCTTTTAAGGTAGGTAGCCTTAACTTTGGGGGCCCAGCTAGGGCAAGAAACTTAACCAGGTCTTCAATTCTCTGCTTTCCTCATCTGTAAAATGGGGATAGATATGGGAAATGTACATTCAAATATAACTCCGTTGGCTGTAATTCTCTATCTGGTCCTGTCCTCAAATGCAGGCAGGGTAGAGTTCTTATGTTGTGAGGTAGCGGGGTGGGGCAAGAATGGAGGGAAAGTGACGCCAGGTAGGGAAATAATTGACCAATGAAGGCAGATCATTTCCTGTGGTATTTAAACCGGAATAGACGATAGCCACCAGGGGGCAGCAAACCGTAGCTGGGATTGGGACAGATCTGGACCAAGTACTTGGATCTCGGGTACACCCAGCCGGCTAGCAGTGCATGCCGGCTTGCCTGGTTGGTTGGTTGGTTGGTTGGTTGGTTGTTTGGTTGGTTGGTTAGTTGGTTGGTTGGTTGGTTCACAATTATGCAGCTTGTGTTTTTCTTGATTGAATTTTGTGGGAACTTCTCACCACATAATAAAGGGGGAGGCTCCATTCTAAGGAAGGCTGTTGTAAGGCATAAGACATGTATGGAAGATGCCTAGTGCATGGGAGGTGGTCAGTAAACGGTAGCTTAGGTGACTAATAATGGTAGCCTTGGCCGGGCACGGTGGCTTATGCCTGTAATCCCAGCACTTTGGGAGGCTGAGGCAGGTGGATCACCTGAGGTCACCAGCCTGGCCAACATGGTGAACTTCATCTCTACTAAAAGTACAAAAATAAGCCAGGTGAAGTGGCACACACCTGTAGTCTCAGCTACTTGGGAGGCTGAGGCAGGAGAATCACTTGAACCCAGGAAGCAGAGGTTGCAGTGAGCAGAAATTGTGCCACTGCACTTGAGCCTGGGTGACAGAGCGAGACTCTATCTCAATAAATAAATAAATAAAATAATGGTAGCGTTGTAGATCCTGTGACCCCACTCAACATCAGGCCAGCCCGCTATAGGTTTCCTCTTCCTGAGGGAATTGCATTTTTTAACTGGCTCCCAGGTGAGGCTTCTTGGGCAAGAAAAGTTTGAGAACCTGCCCCAGGCCTCTCTTGTGGGGAGCTGTCATTTACCGACTGGTCTGGCACTGATCCTCAGTCGGCATGTGCCCTGGTCTAATACAAAGACAGGCGTGGCATGACGTCTTTGTCCCTAGGTGGGTCTCCCCTCCATTCCCTCAGGTTTGCTTTTCTGTAGCTCTGTATGGGGTTCAGCGGCCGCATATGCTGATACTTTTAGGGAGGGAAGGTTCTCTGCTTTCAGCCATTTCTTGCAGGAGCCACTGAGTTAGACATGATCAAATATTTGCTTATAATAATCATAACAATCATAATAACTAATACTTACGGAGTACTCGCTACATGTCAGTTATTATTCTAAGATCTTGACATATCAACTCAACTAATTCTTAACCGCTCTAGGAAGGCAGCACTACTGTTGTCCGATTATGCAGATGAGGATTTGGGGGTTCGAAAGGGTTAAATCATTTGTCCAAATTCAGACCCCAATAAGTGGCAGGGCTAAAATTTGAATTCAGGCACCTGGGTTCCTAATTTACCACACTCTACAAACACATTCTGTGTAAAATATCCAGCTTGCCCAAGGTGACTTCCTGCCAGACCATCGCCGCCCAGCCTGGAGCTAGTCATGAGCAAATCCAACCAGCACAGACCCTGCTCTGGCCTGCCCACGGGCCACGTGAGTGGAAACTTGCTTGTTTTCACCATCAACTCTCGCAGGCACCTAAATTGCAGGGTGCATTGTTGATGTGGCACATTATAAGCTAATCAGATCAATGCAGAAAAAGCAAATTACCTATAATTAGAGACGATTAGTGAAATAGTAAGGTTATGCCCATATAAAACAATGTCTAATGCAGGGCCCGTGGCCAGGGCAGAACCTGCAGCTTCCTCAGGGATGGCTTGGTCTGGGCCTGCCGCCACTCGTTGGCCCTGGCCCCTGCATCTCCCCTCCTCCCCGCCGCCCTCCTCGGTGCCCTTACCCACGGTAGCTGTCAATCCGGTGGCGAAGGAATTCTGGTGCAGAAGGTGCAGGAAGGATGTTTTGCCCACGTTGGAGTCTCCCAGGAAGATGACATGGAAGAGGTAATCAGGGTTGGCCTGGGGTTCCCCTGCAGCCATGGGGTCTCCCGGGGATGGGGTCAGCCCAGCCTCCCTGGAGTCCGTTCCTGAATCTTCAAGCCTGCTCTCTGCCCTTGGTTCCCTGGAGTGACGGGGGCCTTGTTCTTCTGCGTGAGCAGTCATGAGGGATGGCCTGGGTTGGGCTTCCTGCTCAGCCATGGTGGGAGGGGTTCGCGTGGGTTCCTTGGGTCCTGCTCCAGCCCCAGGCTGAGCCCCTCCGGGAGGAGAGCCCCTTGGAGGTGCCTGTTTTCCAGGACCGGGGGCTTCTGCTTCCACCTGAGCCTGTGGTGTGGCAGATGGGAGAGAAACAAGCAGAGAATCTTGCTGGGGGAGTTGCGAATGCGCAGTTTCCAGGCCGTGAGCCTCAACTGACTGCTCTGAACTGAGGTCCTGTTCACCTCGGCCTTCTTGTTTTCCTTCCTCAGACCTGGGTTCCTCTTCTAGCCCCTGGTGGGGGAGGGCAGGCAGCTCACCCAGCCCAAGGACCTGGCCATGAGCTTCTCTTAGCCCCTCAGGAAGGCCCTCCTGCACCACTGGGCCTGCATGGCCCTGCTCCAACCTCTCTGTGGGCAGCGGACCCACAAACTCCAGGCCCTGGAAGGGCTCAGTTGGCCCCAGGGTGAGGGCTCTGGCCCTCTGGGCCCCCGGTCTTGGCTCAGAGCCAGTGGCATGCAGGTTCTGCTGGAGGGTCTCTCTCTGCCTGGGCGGCTTGGCTGGGCCCACTCCTGTGAAGGCAGTTGTGGGCGAGGGTCTGGGCTGGGTTTCTGGCTCAGTCATGGTGGGAGGGGTTTGTGTGGATTCCCGGGGTCCTGCTCCAGCCCCAGGCTGAGCCCCCCTGGGAGGAGCCCAAGACCCAGGGTCCTTGTCATCCTGGTCTGAGGCCTGGATCTGTTTGCTGGACCCAGCTGGGGCCTGGGGAGGGGGAGGGGGCCTGTCCTCCAAAGGAATGAGCACTTTGAATGCAGGTGCCACCAGGCTTCCTGAGAGACCCCAGAGGAGGCGGCCCTCGGGGGTGGACCCCGGCTCCTGGTTGGGGTCCAGGTCGTGCGGTTCGACAGGCTGCTCTGCACTAATGTCCTGCTCATTTGGGTCCACTCCTTTACTGTCCTTGGCGCTGAAAGGCACCCCAGAGGGGGTCCTTGGAGCCCCATCTGGATCTGAAGATGGCTCCTGACCAAATAGTAAAGCCTGTGGCTCCGAGATGGAGATCTGCCTGACCACACGGGGTGTCTGGGGGCCTGAGGTGGCTCTTGGGGTCGGGGGCGGGCTCCAGCAGAGCTGCAGGGCTCCGTGCGGAGGGCTGCCAAAGTTGCTCAGGAGCTGGTCCCAGTCGTCATTGTCCCCAAATAGCCCAGGCAGGGGGGCCTCCTCAGGGGAGACAGCCCGAGGGTCTGGGGTCTTCTCACCCACTCCAGGAACACTGGAAAGGAAGCAGGGAAGCAAAGATCAGGGGAGGGGCAGGTAGGTGGTGTCACACCCATCCTACCTGCAGCCTTCACCATCCCTTGCTCTCCCCATGGCCAGGCCTCCTCCCAGTCCTTGCTCAGGCAATCCTTCTCACCTGGTGTATGCTCCCCACTCCTCCTCCTCATCCAATCTCGTCCATCCTCAAGACCCACATGAAGCCTCACCTCCTCCAGGAAGCCTTCCTTGATCATTCTGGCCCATCCCACTCCTCTGAGCTATAACAAGTAGAGTGAGTGCCTGCTAGGGATCTTGCACTGCACTAAGCCTGTGTGTGTGTGTGTGTGTGTGTGTGTGTGTACATGTACACCCACACACGTGCATATTTTAATTCTAGCCATGTAGTCTTGGGCACAGGTGTTTCCCTTTTTTGTGCCCCAGTTTCCTCATCTCAGAAATGGGTGTGATAGTTCCAGCTTGGCAGAGGGTGGGGTTTGAGGAAGGAAGCTGTGTGTGCACTGTGTGCTAGCTAGATTCTTAGAGAACTCAGAGTTCCCCACTGGTTCCAGGAGGCCCCTAGAGTCCACCCCAGTCCAGGGATAGCAGCCACTTGCCTCAGTTTCTCCTCCACCTGCCAGGATACCCGGCCCCTGGCAGCGTCCAGGCGCCCCCTGGTCACCTGCAGCTGCCCCTGCACCTCCTCCAACCGCCCAGCCAGGTCACGCTTGGCCTCCCGCAGCTGCTGGTTCTCTGAGGCAGCCTCCTGATGTGTGCTCCTGAGGTGGGAGAGCTGGGCCTCCAGCTGCAGGGTGGAGGGTGAAGCAGAGAGAAGCCCAGATGCCCTCCAGGGCGGCAAAAAGCCTCCCAAGGCCATTGTGAGACACAGACTCCCACCCCCTGTCCAGGCTCCCGGAGACCCAGCTTAAATTAGAGTAGGAGTGGGCGGTTATCCCTCCTTGGCCTAACTAGCTCCATTAGCTCCTATCCAGGAGGGGCATTGGAAATCCTGAGGGAGGGAGGGCAGGGAGACTGTGTGAGAAACAAAAATCAGCAGTGCCACAAAGGCCCCACACCTAAACCAGATCCCACCCTCCTCTACTCAGAGCCCTGCAATGGCTGCTGGCCTCTGAGACCATCTGGTCTACAAGGGGCTCCTGATTCAACAGCAAATCACATGACCGAGAGAGGGAACGCTGCCTGGCCAGGTGCAGGGAAAGGCAAGCCCTTGCAATGGCCTCCGGGACCCTGAACAGTCTCCCTGCAGCCTCCTCACCTCCCCTCATGACCCTCATCTCCTTTCCTATGGCTGTTCCCTCTCAGTCCGTTCCAGTCCACAGCTCTGCTTACTGTTCGTGAACTTCCACAGCGCATGCCCGCTCAGGGCCTTTGCACCTGCTGTTCCCTCTGCCTGGATGCCCTTCCCCAGCATATCACACTTCTTCAGGTCTTCGCTCCAGTGTCATCATCTCAGCCAGGCCTTCCTTGACTCCCTTCTCAACTTACTTGACTACGATTCCAACTCTTCTATCCCCCTTTCCTGTTTTACTTTATTCTCCTTAGCACTGATCACCATCTCCTATGTTATGTATGTCACCTGTCTCCCTGACTAGATGGTAACTCTGTGGGCAGAGGTTTGTGTCTGTCATGATCCTCAGAACCTGGAACAGTGTCTGGCACATAGTTGGTGCTGGATAAGTAGTTGTGGGGTGAAGGAATGAATGGTTGGAGGGGAGAGGCTTCACGTTCACAGGGGACAGGACAAAACGGCCCCAGGTGTAAAACCCTATCTCTTCTCTTGGCAGGAGGGACCTGCCTCAATTTCCAAGGAGCAGCTGCAGAGGCGCCTGGGAAATCAACTTGGTAACAGGGCCAGCCCAGGCCATGGTGAGGAAGGCTCGGGGAATCTTGTCCCGAGCTGAAGGGATGCTTGTTGTCCCGGTTACAGCAGAGGACAATTTTACCAAGGTCAGAGGTCTCCAAGTTGAGGAAGGAAGAGACAGTGGGGCAGGGTCTCAGACCCGAACACTCAACCACAGTGCCACCCGTAAGTGACTACAGGCTATAAGACCTGCAGTGTCAGGGCAGCAGGTAACCTGACCCTAAGCAGGAAGCTAGGTCAGTTTCAGAGATGGAACAAGTGATGCATAAACTACTATGTACCAGGCACTGTCTTAGGCCCTCCCCTGTAGTACCTCTAATCATCACAGTACCTACTAAGGCAGGAGCTCTGATTTCCATGTCTCTGATAGGAAACTGAGGCTCATAGATATTAAAAACCTGTTCGGAAGTGGGTTTCTGGGAAACCCTGTCACTCACCTCCCTCTGGCCCTCAGCTAGTCGCTGCACCTCGCGCTCCTTGGCTTCTAGGACGTCCTGCATCTGGGAGGTGAGGGCCAGGCCCCGAGAGTCGCTCTGTGGAGTAGGTAGATTCACTCCTCACCCTGCAGACTCTTAAGAGCCAGCTGGGCAGGCCAGCCCTTCTCACACTCCACCTCCACCACCTGGGGTGCCTGGGCCAGGATGTCCCAGCAGGGAGGGTTCTCAGGACAACTCCCCCAGTTCCAGCCTAGATTGTGGCAACAAGGAGACTTGGCAGAGATGGGAAGGGGGCCCAGGTTCGACATTCCCCACCCCATCTCTCTGGGGAACACAAGCTGCTCAGGGCAGGGAGAGGATTTACTCCAGCAGCCTCCTGCGCCCCACCCTGGTCAGTCACTGGCCCCACTCCTCAGCCAGCAGAGGTGTCCCGGGCAGTGGGAAGGAGGCAGGCTGCCGGCAGGAGCCCACCTCGGCCTGCAGCTGCTGCTTCTCCTGGCGGATCTGTTGCTCCATCTCCTCATAGAGCTGCTGGACCTCGCGGTGGTGGTCAGAGTCACACCTGGGAGGAGCAGGAGTTGGGGCCAGGCAGCCCATTAGCGCCTCTGGGAGCCTGCTGCTGGCAGGGGCAGTCTGGGCTTGGGTTTGGAATCCATCTTATTGCTTTCCTCACTCTGCCAGCAGTCACTGACCTCTGTCACTCTGAGAACAGCCATCCCAATAACAACCCGCTGACCCATACGACTTTGACATTGGTCCTGCTGATCCCACCATGCCGACCCTTGTAACCATCACCAGTTCCCCTGGCCAGGGTCTCATTGTCCTCATCACCCCATCACTCAGTCCCACCTCCCTCTTTCACCATCCTCCTGCCCCTATAACCCAACTCCAGGGTCACCACATGCATTGCAATCTACGGGAGCAGGCCCCCTAGAGTTGGGCGTCACAGCAGGTCCTGTACCAAGACACACCCTGCCATTCTCACTCCTGCCATTACCAACTCTGTCCTCCCCACCAGGTCCCCTGAGCCACCTCTTCCTCCAGCGCAGCTCTGCCCTATCCAGCTCACAGGCCCGGCTGTAGAAGGAGCTGGGGAAATTCAGTCAGATTCCACTGGAATGTGAAGAGGACCTACTTCAAGTCAGACACCTGGCTGGGCCCCCCACTCACTTCTTCAGGGTCAGCTCCAAGGCCTCCTTGTCTGCCTGGGCCTCCTGCAGGCGTCTGGTCATCTTGGCCAGAAAGCCTGCCAGGTTGCCTGCCAGCTGGGGCTCCTCCTGCCGCAGCTGCCCCCACAGCTGCCAGATTTCTGTCTGCCTGGGGAGGGGAGGACAGCCAGAGATGGGAGGGTCAGACACGAGGTGGGATGGAGAAGCAAGGGGAGCCCCACTCCTCAGTTTTCACGACAGCACTCCAAGAGACTTTGGCACCTGGGCCAAATCTATTGACACCCTACAAGATGCAACTCAAATGCCACCTCCTCCAGGAACCGTTCCCAGGTGTGCCCTCTCCCTTCCTGAACCCCTGCCACACTTTGTCTCTCTATGATTCTGTAATAGTGGGATGGGAGGATTTGGGATACTGATGGCCCAGGGCTTCCATCTGCCCTCTCTCTTCTCTCACTCTGAGGCTGTGTGACCTTCAGCAAGTCCCAAGCCCTCTCTGGGCTCATTTGTAAAATGGGGTGGGGGCTGATACCTGCCAAGCAAGGTCATTGAGGAATGAGAGACGCCTGATGAAAGCACCAGCTCAGGGCCTGCTACACGGTTGGCACCCGATAAAGGCTGCTTTCACATGGATTTAATTAAGTCGTGAGGACAGATGCCAGAGGGCTGAGCCTAGGCAGAGCTGCCAAGTGAATAAAAGGCTGCCCTGCCAGTCTATACCCTAAGTCCCACCCTGCCTGCCTCACAGCACCTGGCCCCACCCTCCCGGAGCCAAGCGTGAGGAATCTTGTCCTCACAGAACCCCACGGGTGCGGTGAGCAAACCTGGGCCGGTGCGTGAGGGTGATTCCCCCACTGGTTCTAACAGACCCTGGGAGTCCTAGAGAGGGATGTTTGCAGGCAGGGCTCCCTTTCTTTCTCTCTCTCTCTCTTTTTTCTTTGTCTTTTTTTTTTTTTTTTTTTGTTTTTTTGAGACAGAGTCTCGCTCTGTCGCCCGGGCTGGAGTGCAGTGGCACGATCTCAGCTCACTGCAACCTCTGCGTCCCAGGTTCAAGCGATTCTCCTGCTGCGATTCTTCTGTCTCAGCCTCCTGAGTAGCTGGGATTACAGGCATGTGCCACCATGCCCGGCTAATTTTTGTATTTTTGGTAGAGACAGGGTTTCATCATGTTGGTCAGGCTGGTTGGAACTCCTGACCTCAGGTGATTCACCCGCCTCGGCCTCCCAAAGTGCCGGGATTACAGGCGTGAGCCAGGCCAGGGCTCCCCTTCTCTAAGCAAAGGCAACTCCCTATACCCAGAGCCTCAGACGGATGAGAAGAAATGCATTTCTGTCTCCAAACGTGTTCAACCCGGGGCACAAAATGCCTGAAATCACCCCCAACTCCAGGAATCCTCACTGAGTTAAGAAAGGCACCCGCAGGGATTCCCATGGTTTTAAGAATTCAAGGGCCCTTGGGAAGCTGAGCCCACTTGTTAGTCCTCCTGAAGAGTGACCCTACAGGGCAGGATAGGGCAGGGAGGTGCGGGGGTGGGAATGATTCCCCATAAGCAGGCATCCTCTGCATGTGGTTTTAACCCCACCACAGCTTTTAGGCTCATTCTGCAGCCCAGGAAACAGGTCAGAAGCGAAGCCATTCCTGTGGTCACACAGCTAGTCAATGGCCAAGCCGGGATTTGCACCTGGTTCTACCTGGCACCTGCCCCCTTGACGCTGTGTCCAGGGGAGCCTCTGCTGTCAATGACTGGCAGAGCCTCTCCCCGTGCACATGCTGCCCTGGCCTTACTTGGGAAGTAAGTGTCCAGTCCCCAGCTGCTCTATGAAGGCAAGGAACACCTCCTTCTCCTCAGCATCCGCCTCCTCCAGAGCTGGGAAACTGGTGGTAGCAGACACCTGCTTAGAGGGCAGTGGCTTTCTTCTGCGGAGCCTGTGGGAGCTCTGGCTGGAGCCAAAGATGTTTTCTGTGGACAGAGACAGACAGAGGGGAGCATCGTGGTGTTGGGCCCAGGTGCCTGGCCTCCCACCCAGCCCTGCTCCAGCCCTCAGGGAAGGAATTCTACCTGTGCTGGTCACATTTACACAGGGCTACATTCATATATTTCTCATATCAACCTTAGGAGTCTACTTAAGGTAGTCAATTTACAGATGAGCATCTGAGGCCCAGAGACACCAAAAGACTTGCTGGAAATCACACCGCACCTCCAAGGTGGTGAACAAACCCTTCATGCACTCAATCAAGGGATATGTATTGAGCATCTACGTGACAAAATTAACCAAAATCCCTAACGTGGAGCTGACATTCTAGTGCAGGTTGAAAAGAATATATATATCCAACTTGCTAAGTGAGCCAAAGGAATATAGGAATATGCAGGGTAATTTCCACTGAGAGACTGAGAGGATCGACTTAGATGAGGTGGCTAACAGTGGCCTAAGGAGGTGACACTGGAACTGAGATGTGAATCCCAAGAAGGAGCAAATCCAAGAAGCGTGTGCCTGGCAAAGAGAACAGCACTGCAGGTGCCCTGAGGCAGGACCGGGCTAGCAAGATGGATGGGGTGAATGGCACTGAGTGAGCCAGCGAGGTTGGCAGCGTCTGGAGGGTGCAGGCCCTGCAGGCCCCAGGAAGGGGCTTCCAGCTTGTCCCACAGGCACTGGGAAGTTCCTGGCGTGGCAGGCATGATTTGATTCAGGAATGAAGACGGCCCCAAGGCTGTGTGGACAACAAGCTCCCTCTGCGCTGCACTCCCACCGGCAATTCCTCTTGCCCAGCCCTTGAGTTCTCCTCCCAACTCTCAGCTTCTCCATTGCCAGAACTGGAGGAGCCTCCTGCTGGAGTGGGCCCACGCGTAAATGCAGATTCCTGGCCTCCTTCTCTGCGGATCTCCAGGCTTTTGGTGACTCAGCTGACCTGAGAACTCTGGGTGGCTTTGTGGACACTGAAGGCTGATCTGTGTCTTGCAGGGGCTCTGTGAAGACACCACACCTTTCATTGCCTGGGCCAGAAGGTCTTCCCATGGAGAGGATTAGTGGAAGGATTGTGCCCTGCTGGTCCTGGGCTCCCTAAGTCTTGTCAGCCCTTCTAGAGAGGCAGGTGCTGGGGCGGCCCTGCCCAGTGGGGGCTTAGCACCTGGAAAGCCCCCACCCCTAAATATCACCCTCTGCTGCTCCCTGGCCCATGGAATTCCCCTAACCAAAGCCACAATGTTACTCTCCTCAGGCGGAAACAAATCTGTGGTGTCAAGACCTCTGGCTTAGGAGAGGCCTTTTACTGAGAAGACATGAGAGGAGCAAGCCCAGAGGCCTCCCTGGAGGCGGGGGGTGGGGGGATGGAATGCACGGGGGAGGGCCCCAGACCACTCTGGCAGCCAGGGATGTGGGGTGAAAGTCCCTGGGAAAAGGGTTGCCTTTCTAACGACCCAGTCTAGCCCCATGCAGGGCACACTGCACGGGACACCTGGGTGCCCAGAGGCCCTCCAAGGACAGACATACTGAGTCCAGAGCTGAATTCTTCAAGTGACAGATGTCCCTTCCGCTCCACGTCCACCCAGTCGAAGATCATCTCTGACTCCTCCTTGCTGCCCAGGAAGCTGAACTTGGCCACCTGGAAGGCATGGGCAAGGTGGGCAGGTGTTCCCACCTGGGAAGACTCTCACCCTCCAAAACGGAGAGATGTTTGTCTTCAGCCACCCCTACCTCACCTCGCCCTCATGTCAGAGTCCCCCCAGTAACCTGACCCAGGGCCTAAGCTTGACGTTCCCAACCCCACCCAAGGCAGCCCTCCCAGCAGGGCCATGAACTGGCTCCAGCCCTTTTCACTCTCCATCCAAAATCAAAACGTACTTGTCCTAAGTCCCATGTCTTTAGGAACTTGATAAAGGACAGCAGCCAACCCTCCCCCAGAATGTCGTGATCAATGTCCAAAAATTATCTGAGGCCGGACATAGTGGCTCATGCCTGTAATCCTAATAGTTTGGGAGGCCAAGGTGGGCGGATCACCTGAGGCCAGGAGTTCAAGACCAGCCTGGACAACACAGTGAAACTCCGTCTCTACTAAAAATACAAAAATTAGCTGGGCATGGTGGCAGGCGGCTATGTTCCCAGTTACTTGGGAGACTGAGGCAGGAGAATCACTTGAACCCAGGAGGCAGAAGTTGCAGTGAGCCGAGATGGTGCCATTGCACTCCAGCTTGGGTGACAAGAGTGAAACTCCGTTTCAAAAAAAAAAAAAGTCAATGAGTTACATAAAATCTTCTATAAGAGTTCAGTTTATATGTCACGGCCTACAGGTCATGATTTTACCTTTTTGAAAAGTAGAACAAGTTTTGGACTAAGGTCTGTGGAGACGGCCCAGTGGGCTCATCTGGCAGAACCCACTAGCCTGCATGGCTGCACAAGCGCATGTCATGGGCTCTTTTAGCCCATGCGCTTTGGCTCTCAGAGGGAATCCCAAGCATAATAGAACTTGGAGTTTGCTGATTCTCTGTTTCTCTAGTTACTTTGTTTTCCTTTTTGTAAATTTCGTGTTTTTATCTGGGGCTGCACATGAATGATAAGTTATTCCCCATTGGTGGCAGCAGTGATGGTCTGGTCTAAACCAGTGATGGTCTTTATGTTCTATTTGGTGATCTCTGCGGGATGCATCATGGAGACCTAATGCCTGTTGTTTGAAAAATAACGGAAAAACTGGTTTGCTAATCGTTTTGTTGTTGTTGTTGTTGTTTGTTTTTCTATTTGTGATCTCAAATTAGTGAAGAATTCCAGGCTGGGTGCAGTGGTTCATGCTTGTAATCCCAGCACTTTGGGAGGCCGAGGCGGGCAGATCACTTGAGGTCAGGAGCTGGAGACCAGCCCGGCCAACATGGTGAAACCCCATCTCTACTAAAAATACAAAAATTAGCCAGGCATGGTCGTGGGCGCCTGTAATCCCAGCTACTCGGGAGACTGAAGCAGGGGAATCACTTGAACCTGGGAGAAGGAGGTTACAGTGAGCCAAGATTGCACCACTGCACTCTAGCCTGGGTGACAGAATGAGACTGTATCTCAGAGAAAAATAATTTCGTATCCACTGGGAAGGAGAACAGCTGTTTGAGATCTGAGTTGGTGAGGTTTCATGTTGCTGTTCCCATTTTTTTTAATTTTTTTGAGACAGAGTCTCACTGTCATCCAGGCTGAAATGCAGTGGTGCAGTCTTGGCTCACTGCAACCTCCACCTCCCGAGTTCAACCTATTCTCCTGCCTCAGCCTCTTGAGTAGCTGGGACTACAGGTGCCTGCCACCACGCCCGGCTAATTTTTTGTATGTTTAGTAGAGACGGGGTTTCACCACGTTGGCCAAGCTGGTCTCAAACTCCAGACCTCAGGTGACCCACCCGCCTCAGCCTCCCAAACTGCTGGGATTATGGGCGTGAACCACCGTGACCAGTCTGCTATATTTACTTTTGATCTGTGGCTGGAACTGTAGAAATGAAGCAAGATATTCTCTGTGCGTCTGTATATCTATACGTCTGCAATAGAAAGGCCTTTAACTCTTTTTTATTTTATTTATTTATTTTTTGAGACAGAGTCTCACTCTGTCACTCAGGCTGGAATGCAGTGGCGCAATCTCAGCTCACCGCATGCTCCACCTCCTGGGTTCAGGCGATTCTCCTGCCTAGCCTCTCGAGTAACTGGGATTACAGGCATGTACCACCACACCCGAAAGGTCTTTAACTCTTATTGTCAGCGTGAAATATTCTTGTACATCTGGAAGGTATTAATAACTTAGTGTACTATGTCTCTTAAAGGAGTTCTGTGTTGATTAGTTTATAGAGACAAATAAGTGATTATATAAATCTAATGCTCCTAAAAATAACAGAAAATAACTGAAATTTGAATGCTTTAAATGTGTTAGACTTAAAACAATTCTTCTTAGAAATCGCTAGCTCAGAAAATTTTTCAGGAGCCAGGTCCATATAATTAACATGATTCTTTGAACAAATTATACTGGTTTAATAATTGTTTTGACAAAACACATATAATAGCTATCTGTCTTTTCTGTGCTTTATGTTAAGTATAATACAAGTATACATTCTGTTTTCATAAGTCTATATTTATTTTCTGTGAAGAAACTAGTTAATCTACATTTCCTATACTTCTCATTTTGACTTTCAGATCAAACAAGTCAACTTTATCTTTACATATGTCTAAGATTATAAACATGTAAATTTGTGCCCCACTAAATTGATTAATTATTCTAACAAATAAATTTTGTATCAACAGTAATTATATTTTTTAGTGTGTCACCTTAACCACAGTTTCCAAGATTCTTAGGTAACTTTAGAATTTTGAATTAATATTGAAGTACATTAATTAATAAATAATTTTTGACTATCTGGATAATTTCTAAAACAAATTTAATACTGAAACATTGGTTGCTAATCATAATTTTAAGTTGATATATTTTTTACTTCTTATTTTCACATGCTAGAAAGTAGCTATATCTTTGGGTAGTGTTAACAAATGAATTCATTATTTTCTGCTTTAAAAAGTTGTGCAGGCGGCCGGGCGCGGTGGCTCAAGCCTGTAATCCCAGCACTTTGGGAGGCCGAGACGGGCGGATCACGAGGTCAGGAGATCGAGACCATCCTTACTCACACGGTGAAACCCCGTCTCTACTGAAAAAATACAAAAAACTAGCCGGGCGAGGTGGCAGGTGCCTGTAGTCCCAGCTACTCGGGAGGCTGAGGCACTAGAATGGCATGAACCCAGGAGGCGGAGCTTGCAGTGAGCTGAGATCCGGCCACTGCACTCCAGCCTGGGTGACAGAGCGAGACTCCGTCAAAAAAAAAAAAAAAAAAAAAAAGTTGTGCAGGCTGGGTGAGGTGGCTCATGCCTGTAATCCTAGCACTTTGGGAGGCCAAGGCGGGTGGATCACCTGAGGTCAGGAGTTCAAGACCAGCCTGGCCAACATGGTGAAACCCCCTCTCTACTAAAAACAGAAAACTTAGCCACACGAGGTAGCGCATGCCTGTAATCCCAGCTACTGTACTCGGGAGGTTGAGGCAGGAGAATCACTTGATCTCAGGAGGCGGAGGTTACCGTGAGCCAAGATCACGCCACTGCACTGCAACCTGGGCGAGAGAGGGAGACTCCCTCTCAAAAAAAAAAAAAAAAAAAAAAAAATGTTGTGCAAAAGAAAGTGGTGGAGACTCAGATATTTGTAGGCCCATATTCATAGCAGTATTATTCACTATCGCCAAAAGAATCCACCCAGGTGTTCACTGACAGATAAGAGGATAGACAAAAATGACATATATGTACAACGGAATATTATTTGGTCTTTAAAAAGAAGAACATTTGGACACATGCTACGATACAGATAAACCTTGAGGGCATTCTGCTAAGTGAAATACAACAGTCACTAAAAGACAAATACTGTATGATTACATTTCTATAAGGTACCTAGAGTAATCAAAGTTATGGAGACAGAAAGTAGAATAGGGATAGCCAGGGGTTGGGGAGAGGGAAGTATGGGAGTTAACTATTCAATGGGTGCAGAATTTCAGCTTGGCAAGATAAAAGAAGCATTGAAGATGACTGGGGAAATGGTGGTACAACATCGTGAATGTACTTAATGCCACTGAATAGTACATTTTAAAATGGTTAAAATGATAAATTTTCTGTTATATATATTTGACCACTTTCTTTTTAAGTTGTGTTAGGGATACTCAAGGCTGTAGAAAGTTGGCTTATGTGTATTTGTGAGCTTTGCTTGTCTGCTAAAATTCTTGTATAAGACAGTTCTCAATTATTTACCCTTAGTTCTTCCTATGAAAGAGGTTAATTACACTGGTTAAAAGTGCAGTTAATACAGGCTGGGCATGGTGGCTCACACCTGTAATCCCAGCAGTTTAGGAGGCCTAGGCAGGTGGATCACTTGAGGTCAGGAGTTCAAGACCAGCTTGACCAACATGGTGAAACCCTGTCTCTACTAAAAATAGAAAAAATCTTCCTGGCATGGTGGCGGGCATCTGTAATTCCAGCTAACTGGGTGGCTGAGGCATGAGAATAGCTTGAACCCAGAAGGCAGAGGTTGCAGTGAGCTGAGATTGTGCCACTGCACTACAGCCTGGACAACAGAGCAAGACCCTGTCTCAAAACAACGGCAACAACAACAACAAAAGTTCAATTAACTACAGATGCTTGAGGCTTTGCTAGGAGCAATAGCGACAGAGAAACAAAACTTTGTCTGCAAGCAAAATGGGATGCATTGTTGTGTGAAAGTGTCTGGTTATTCTAGAACATGAAAAAGGATAAAAAGGCAAAACTTGAATAGATATAGAATGTTGTAGAAAGTTTGCTGAAAGAAAATTTTATCTGCCTTGATTTATAATGCCTGAGTCTGAAAATAAACTATGAAATGTATTAACATTTTGCCAAATTTGGCCCAGTTTTGATGGGCTTAAAAATTGATAATAAATAGGCTTGGCACAGTGGCTCACGCCTGTAATTCCAGCATTTTGGGAGGCCAAGGCGGGTGGATCACATGAGGTTAGGAGTTCAAGACCAGCCTGACCAACATAATGAAACCCATCTCTACTAAAAATAAAAATTTAAAAATAGCCGGACATGGTGGCAGGCGCCTGTAATCCCAGCTACTCAGGAGGCTGAGGCAGGGGAATCGTTTGAACCCAGGAGGCAGAGGTTGCAGTGAGCTAAGATCACGCCATTGCACTCTAGCCTGGGCAACAAGAGTGAAACTGTCTCAAAAAATAAAAATAAAAATAAGTAAATACATAAAAATAAGTAAAAATAAATAAATAATAAATAAAAACTCATGAAAATTTTACAGCCACATGTTCTATTAACGCATAACTAGAATTTGGCTTTATCTCTACTAAAATAATAAATTGGTCTTAGAGCTCTTAGCAAGGGTTAAAAAGAGGCTACTGTTTAGCTTCTGTGTAAGCCTTCCAGATAACAGAGATTCCCTATCTCACCAGAATCATTTCCTCTGCTTTGTTTTGACCTTACTATGTCTTAAATTTTTTTTAAAAAAGCAAAGGTATCTCCCTTATAAAAAAGCTATCTACTCTTGCAATCATATTACCTTCTTCCATATTTATTTCAAAATCTTTTATTTTATTATTACTTTGATTAAATAGATAACAAAGTAATATTTCTTGGTCTCCCATGACCTCTTAATCTAGTGCCCAAATCTTCTCTAACGGCTCTTTTAATTTTGCCTTCCCAAGATCAGATTCTAAATTTAGAAAAAAATACAATAAAAATTTGAAGATATCTTTCTCTATATTTTTTAAATACTTCAACACTATTACAAGAACATCATGGGAAGAACAATCAAATCAAAAGAGATGTTCAGGCTTTCCTAGGCTAAATTTTCATGGGCAAAATGCTATTAATATCAATATTTCAGAAATTGCATGCTTTATGGGAAGGTCCTGGAGATTTCTCAATGATTTTGCTATTTATAATATGTTCTTTTTTTTTCTTTCTTGAGACAGGGTCTCACTCTGCCGCCCAGGCTAGAGTGCAGTGGTGTGATCATGGCTCACTGCAACCTTGACCTCCCAGGCTAAAGCAATCCTCCCACCTTAACCTCCCAAGTAGCTGGGACTACAGGTGCACACCACCACACCTGGCTAATTTTTTAAAACTTTTTATAGAATGGAATCTCGCCATATTGTCTAGGCTGGTCTTGAACTTCTTGGCTCAAGTGATCTTCCTGCCTCAGTCTCCCAAAGTCCTGGGATTACGAGCAGTATGTTTTTATCATCAGGGGAAACACTGATCAAACCATTATGAAATAGTTGTGCATTGTACCCCAGGAGAGAATTTCACTCTCCTCCATTCTGATACTATTAGGTAGTGGAATAAATAACCACAGCCTTTCAGTCTCGTTACTGGACACATTTCTCCTTTCCAATGCCTGCCTGAAGCCTCTGTTATAAGCTGCAGGCCGCAGATTGCATCTTCAACAAAGAAAAACAAACTCAAAGTCTAGAGAAAAAGGACTGTACCAGGTTCTATGAACTATTTATGCTTCACTTGGTGTAGGCTTCCAAGCTGACAATGGATGACCTTCTGACTGAGCGAGTAGACTGAGAATTCCTACAACTGAGTCCAAAAGCAGACAGCTTACCCAAGATCCAGCAGAACAATAATTAATTACATGGCGTTGATTGAACAGCTGAAGGAAATCTAGTTACGGCTCTTTGTGGCAATACAGTTGATGTTATTTTTTATTGTTCTACTTTAATAGATCTGTGAGGAAGTTCTTTCCTGGTCTTGAGCTGTCTTTAACCCTCAGTTTAGTAGATTATACTTTTCTTTTTTTTTTGAGACAGAGCCTCACTCTGTTACCCAGGCTGGAGTGCAGTGGCATCATCTCTGCTCACTGCAACATCTACCTCCCAGGTTGAAGCGATTCTTCTGCCTCAGCCTCCCAAGTAGCTAGGATTACAGACACATGCCACCATGCCTGACTAATTTTTGTATTTTTAGTAGAGACGGAGTTTCACCATGTTGGCCAGGCTAGTCAGGAACTCCTAATCTCAGGTGATCTGCCCATCTCTGCCTCAAAAAGTGCTGAGATTACAGGCGTGAGCCACGGAGCCCTGCCAGATTATGCTTTTGTAAACTGAAATTCAACCTTTCAAGTGGTATCTGAATCTCACTGATCCCCTCATGATTCAGCAACCCGCAACCCTGCCTCTATAAAAAATACAAAACATCAGCTGGGCATGGTGGCGCATGTCTGTAGTCCCAGCTACTCAAGAGGCTGAGGTGAGAGGATCCCTTGAACCTAGGAGGCGGAGGTTGCAATGAGCCAAGATCGCACCGTTGCACTCCAGCCTAGGTGAGAGAGCAAGACCCTGTCTCAAAAAAAAAAAAAAAAATTTTACTTTAACAGACTCTCCTTACTTTCCATGGCAATATAATTATTTGCACAGGTTCAACAGAATCTGTCCTCCTTTTTTTTTTTTAATCAAGATATAATTGGATAAATCAATTGTGTAATTAAGGCCCTACCTGGAGTGTGTTTTATGGGATGTCCTCATTTAATCAGGTGTGACACACCTACTATAAGGAATGCCCATGGAGTCAATCCCTACAAAACCCTACCAGGAAGCTGGCCTGGAACCCCATGGATTGCTTCCTGGCGGAAGAGGGACCTTAGAAAAATCAGGGACCTCAAGAAGGGAGGAAGTCATTTAAATTTACAGGTGATGCAAGTGACATCTGGTGAAGAGAGTATCTTGAGCTTGCTTTTCTAGCCTTAGGATAGAAGTTGGGTGACCAATTCATCCTAGTTTTCCCAGGACTTTCCAATTTTAGGACTTAAAGTCCCATATCCCAGGTACCCCATTAGTCCTTGGAAAACTGGAACAGTTTGTCACTCAACTTCTATCCTAAGGCTACAGTTTGGGCAACATAGCAAGACCTCATCTCTACAAAATTTTAAGAATCGGCCAGGCATAGTGGCATGTGCCTTTAGTCCTAGCTACTTGGGAGCCTGAGGCGAGAGGATCTCTTCAGCCCAGGAGCTTGAGGCTGCAATGAGCTGTGACTGCACCACTGCACTCCATTCTGGGTAACAGAGTGAGATCCTATCCCTTAAAAAAAAAAAAAAAACAACCTAAGATTATGTATGAAAGCTTCTAGACAGAAGCTAAAATGTCTCAATACTGTCTCTATTTGTAGGGCAAATTCAAAGAGACTCATGTTTAATTATATCCTTGTTGCTCCTATGGAAATAAGCCAATGTAATGACAGCAGCCTTTTATACATCAAGAAAATTTCAGAGATTATCTATGATCATAGAAAAATTATCTGGCCGGGCGCAGTTGCTCATGCCTGTAATCCCAGCACTTTGGGAGGCCAAGGCACGTGGATCACCTGAAGTCAGGAGTTCGAGACCAGCCTGGCCAACATGGTGAAACCCCGTCTCTACTAAAAATAAAAAAATTAGCCAGACGTGGTGGTGGGTGCAGGTAATCCCAGCTACTTGGGAGGCTGAAGCAGGGGAATCACTTGAACCTGGGAGGCAGAGGTTGCAGTGAGCTGAGATCATGCCTCTGAGATCGAGCTGAGAAGAAGGAAGGAAAGAAGGAAGGGAGGGAGGGAAGGAGGGAGGGAGGGAGGGGGAGGGGGGAGGGAGGGAGGGAAGGAGGAAATCTGAAACTTGGATATGAGGCAAAAAGAATGCTGGCACAACCCATTGTTTACCTTTCATGAAAAGTCCCAAACTTACTGAAGTTACTAGTAGAACAGATAGCCTGAAAGATTTATGGCCTGTTAGACATTAGTCATTTTAAGAATTTAACTCAGTAATTTCATCCTAATACTTTTCTGTCAAATTGCTGGCTTCTCAAATGCTCTTTGAACCAGTCATAACATCTTACTGGTTTCCCTACTCTTTTTTTTTTTTTTTTTTTTTAGAGATGGAGTCTCGCTCTGTCACCCAGGCTGGAGTGTAGTGGCATGATCTTGGCTCGCTGCAACATCCGCTTCCTCGGGCTCAAGCAATTCTCATGCTTCAGCCTCCCAAGTAGCTGGGATTACAGGCACCCACCACCACGCCCGGCTAATTTTTGTATTTTTAGTAGAGACGGGGTTTCACCATGTTGGCCAGGGTGGTCTCGAACACCTGACCTCAAGTGATTTGCCCACCTCAGCCTCCCAAAGTGCTGGGATTACAAGCATGAGCCACAACACCTGGCCACCCTAAGACTCTTTACGGGGACACACAACCGTGGCTGATCTTATGTTTCATTGACGTTTACAGTTGTTGACATGGTTTGATTTCCAGGGCTCCGACTGCTTCCCAAAATAAATGTCCTTGCTCAATGAGCCGAAAATTATAACATTTGCAAATTACTTATTTGGCCTAAAGTCCTTTTACTGGTTAGAAGACAAATGTTTCTGGAAAAGGGCAACACATAAAGCCTTACCAGTCATTTTCACATTAGTATAAACACATCCCTAGCGTTTTCTGAGAGCTCTAAATGAGAGAAAGGGGCAGGGGTAGGCAAGCCTTGCCTTCCTGTGATGGGGGAGTGGGGGTGTCAGGAGCTGCAGAAAGGGGATTCAGAGTTCAAATGGGGGCCTTGGGCTCACCGCTAGGTCCTTGCGGGTGACAAAGCCCCTTTCCTTGGCACCGCAGTCCTGGAAGAAGGCCTGTAGTTCTGCCGCTGCCTGAGAGGACCAAGACTCTGGCTCTGGGGCCACCTCAGCATCTTCACCATCAGCTGGCTCTCTTGTCTGCCGCCGCCGGCTGGAGCCCAGCTTCCGGACTTTTCGAGATGTTCTCTGTCCTGTCTCCATGGTTCATTGGCCCTGGGGACAGAGGAGTGAGGGGCACTGGGCTGCTGGACAGTCACACCCTCTCATGGCTCAAAACCTTCCCCTGGCTCCCATCACCTCTGGAAGAAAATCCACTGTGGCTGCCAAAGCCCGGCCTGATGGTGCCCCGCCGGGTCCTCTGACCTCATTGCCCAGTCGCCTCACGGCCTCTCATCCATTCTGCTCAACGCCTTTGCCCTTTCTAAGTTTCTGCCTGGAATGCCCTTCTCCAAGCTACCCCCCGTCCTCATCTCTTCAGGCTACTACTCAACTATCGAAGTCTTCTCTGACCATTAGAGAATTTATCCTCTTCACCCCATGCAGAATCTCTCTCATGTTTTGACCTGGAGGGTGGTTACGCAGGGTTTTCCAGGATCTAGCTGTCTGAAGGGCCATAAGCAGCTTCCTGAGCCATCTCTCTGGTGACTCTTCTCACTCATTGACTCATCCCAGCTGCATCAGGGATCCTTCCACTGACGCCTCCTCCCTCTCTCAGCCTCACCTCTCCTCCAGCCTTGTCTCTAGTCCTTTGACACACGCAGCATGGAATCAGTAGCGCCCCATGCGGCTCTTAGGGCCCTACATGATGTGGCCTCAGCTTCATCCACCCCACCCCAGTGTCCTTGGGGTCCAGGGCAACACTATTGAACCACTCATGGTTCCTGGAATTCCTGATTCCCTCCCACCCTGCTCCCTTTGCCCCAAACTCCACAACTCTCTCACTCCCTTACATAGTTAACACCTTTTGCTTCCTCACTTTACAGGCTGCCTCCTCCAGAAGCCTTCCCTGCAGTCACCCCGCATTCAAGCTGGGCTCAGTGCCCCCTTGTCTGCGACCCTGCTGTGGTTTGAATGTGTTCCCCAAAGTTCATGTGTCGGAAACCTGATCCTCAATGAGGCGGTGTTGGGCGGTGGGGCCTGGTGGGAATTGTTTGGGTCATGGGGGCACCATCCTCATGAATGGATGAATGCCATTATTGCAAAAGTGAGTTCCTTATAAAAGAATGGACTCAGACCCTCGTGCTCTCTGTCGTCCTTCTGCCTTCCACCATGGGAAGACACCACAAGAAGGCCCACGCCAGATTCTACCTCCTCAGTCTTGAACTTTCTAGCTTCCAGAACGATGAGAAAATACATTTCTGTTCTATGTAAATTTCCCATTCTATGGTATCTGCTATAGCAGTGCAAAACAGACCAAGGTAGGCCCCATGCTGCCCTGGCTGTGGATAACACTGTTTATCTGGGTCCATACTGCTCCCCGTCCCTTAGCACATGTTAGGTGCTCAAATAAGGGGCATCAAATTCATCATTCATTCACCAGTCACTGAATGTCTTAGTTCAGTCAGTCAGTTGATAAGGATTTGGATGGTTGGGGATTCATCCAGGTGAGACCCCTGGGATGAGGAAAAGAGAGGCTGTGGTCTGGAAGGGATAAAGTCTGAGCCTGCCTTGGAGGAACAAGTCTGGGGCCCATAAAGCTATGGGATGAGAAAGACCTGATGTCCAGACAGGGCAGCTTCCTGCAGGTGTGGGACTTGTGCAGGTTCTACAGGAGGCATGTAAACAGTGTGTGTGAAGGAATCAAGGCAGAAGAGCAAGACTCATGCCCAGGAGATGGAGGAGACATCTCCCCTGGGTGTTCTCTGTTGACACTGAAGGCCACAGACAGGCTGGGTGGAGTGGTGCGAGGGCTCTGCTTTAGGCATCATGGGCTCATTCCAGGGGGTCATTCCACAGCCTCCCCTTGGGCAAGCTTCCCACGGGGAACTGCACCGGCTGCACAGAACTTGGATGAAGCAATGTCTCATCCTGAGGAGGCCTCAAACTTCAAACAGAAGTACATTCTCTCTCTCTCTCTCTCTCTCTCTCTCTCTCTCTTTCTCTGCCTTCAAAGTCTGTTTCAGAAGCAGTTTTGTTTTTTTTTTTTCTGAGATGGAGTCTCGCTCTGTCGCCCAGGCTGGAGTGCAGTGACACGATCTCAGCTCACTGCAAGCTCCACCTCCTGGGTTCACGCCATTCTCCTGCCTCAGCCTCCCAAGTAGCTGGGACTACAGGCGCCCGCCACCATGCCCGGCTAACTTTTTGTATTTTTGGTAGAGACGGGGTTTCACCATGTTAGCCAGGATGGTCTCGATCTCCTGACCTTGTGATCCGCCTGCCTTAGGCGTGAGCCACCGCTCCCGGCCGTCAGATGCAGTTTTAAGATCATAAATGTAAAACCACAGTGGTGTGCTGGGGCTTGTGAGGGCCGACTGTGCACACCTCTTCCTATCTCGGCAGCTTGGAATCAGCCACTGTGGGAGTACTGGTACCATGGGAATCAGCAAATGCTATGAATCAGGTCTCCTGCCCCCACCAAAGAACAGTAACCAGCACACCTCTTCTGAAGACTTCATCTGCCCCAACCCTTCCCACCCTCTGTCATGCACATAAGCAACAACCATTTACCGAGCACCAACTGAATGCTAGTACAGTGCTAAGCAGGCCCGCCACAATCCATATGTTTCCTTTAAGCGAATTAGGAAAAGGTATTTCCTGCTGGCAGACACAGCCCAGTGCCAGGGCTCATGGTTTGACAAGTGGAATGTGGACTGGATTCCAGTCCCCAGGCACCTCCTTGGCTGGGCATCCTTGTGCAGAACACACCCTGCACACCCCAGCAGAGTCCCTGGCCCTGCAGGTGGAGGTGTGACTAACTCCTGGTCTTCCCTGGGGGACCTCACAGCCTCATGCAGGAGACACAAACATAATTACAGTGCAGCATAAAAGGGGCAGCACACCTGTGTGTCAGGTGCTGGGAGAGCACTGAAAAAGGAGCAACTCACTGATCAGGGTGTCAGAGAGGGCTTCCTGGGGGAGGTGACGTAGCTTAGCAGTGAGCTCCAGGGCAGGAGAGATTATACTTAACCCTGATGCCCTCATAATGCCCAGCCTTGCTTAGGATATGTACTGGGCTCTCAACCCACTTCCTCTGCTGACTCACTGTCCCCAGAATGTGGAATGTTCTAACAGACAACTGAATAGAATCAGAAAATATCAGGGCCAGACACGGTGGCTCACACCTGTAATCCTAACACTTTGGGAGGCCAAAGCGGGTGGATCACTTGAAGCCAGGAGTTTGAGACCAACCTGGGCAACATGGTGAAACTCCATCTCTACCAAAAACAAAAAATTAGCCGGGCATGGTGACGTGCACTTCAAGTCCTAGCTATTAGGGAGGTTGAGGAGGGAGAATCACTTGAGCCCAAGAGGCAGAGGTTGCAGTGAGCCAAGATTGTACCACTGCACTCTAGCCTAGGCAACAGAGCGAGACACTGTCTCAAAAAAAAAAAAAAAAAAAAAAAGTCTTTCTAATAAAAAACAGGGAGGCTAAAAAGCCAAGAATGAGGAGTAAGATTCTAGGGGTTAGAATAGGGAAGTCCCCATGCTAATCTAACGGGCCTTCACCCGGTATCTCTCACCCCTAATTCACCCCATGTTGCCCCATGGAAATAATGACCACATAGACACCCCTCCTTGGGTCTAGAGGCCTTCCACACCTAGAAAGTCACCATCTATCTCCATTTCCCTTCCTCCTAAGAGGGGAGCCCCTTCCTTCCATGGGCCGATGACCCTTCTTCAATGGCTAATAGGGTTTGGCCTAGCAGTTCCAGCCTTGTAGGTTACTCTCAAAGAAAGACTCCCTGTAGAATAGAAGGAGATTAAGAAACAAAACAACAACAACAAAATAAGCTGGGCATGGTGGCCTGTAATCCCAGTACTTTGGGAGGCTGAGGCGAGAGGATCACTTGAGCCCAGGAGTTCAAGACCAGCCTGGGCAACATAGCGAGACCCTGTCTCTACAAAATAAAATAAAACTAGCTGGGCTTGGTGGTGTGTCTGCAGTCCTAGCTACTTGGGAGGCTGAGATGGGAGGATCACTTGAACCCAGGAGGTCAAAGCTACAGTGAGCTTTGATTCACCACTGCACTCCAGCCGGGGCAACAGAGTGAGATTCTGTCTCAAAAAAATAAAAAAGGAAAAATAAAAGACTCACTGAGCCTCAGTACTAGAAGAGGGTCAGTCCCACTCTCTTGACCTGGAGTTGCAGAAAAGGAGGCTCACGAAGAGAAAGTGACTTCCAGTCCCATTGCTGTGAAGTCAGACAGGCCTCTGCTTCTCCCAGCTCTGCTGCCCATGGGCTGTGCAACCTTAGGGAAGTCAATCAGCGTCTCTGTGCCTGAGCTTCCTCACTGGAAACTTAGGACTATTAGCTCTTACACAGGGTTGCTATGAGGGTTAGGCAAGATAATTAAAGTCGAAACATCAGTTCCCATTTCCCAGGATGGCCCACCTCCCTTTCCAGCTTCACTTTCTCTTAGCACTTGTCACCTTCCCAGAATAGAGAGCCTTTTGCTCATTTTTGTTGTAAATTTTCCTTCTCCTTATGCTGATACAGAGGCCTGACCTGAGTAGGGAGTTGACCATTCTGTTCACTGCTCTATCCCAAGAGCCTAGAACAGCGCTTGGCACACAGTTGGTACTCTGTAAATATTTGCTGAATATATGATCCACATAAAGCACTTTGGAGTGTGCTTGGCATCCGTGACTACCGGGTAAAGGTAGCAATGACAACAGTGGTGATGACATTGATAAAGTTGAATTCTATTTGAGGCACATAAAAGCCAGGTTCCATGCAGATACAATTGATCCCATTTGACAAGTGAGGAAACTGAGGGAGGTTCCAAGAGGCAGAGTGACCTGCCCAAGCCATGATGTCAGTGGTAGAACTACACTGGATTCTGCTTTTCTGGTTGGTCATGAGATGGACTTCCCCAAGGCTACATCCTGGACAGGTGGCTCTTCCCTGGGCAGAAGGCCCCTCTGGGGATGACAAATGCCCAGTGGAGTAGCCCTGAGCGGGACAAGGGCTTTGAAGCAGGGTGGGCGTTGACAGGCTTGGCTCCTGTGGTGACGCCCAGTGTCTCGTGTACTTCTGGCGATGGAGATAACACGGCCAAGGGAGCAAGATAAGATTCCCTGTGCAGAAGCCTCCGGAAGCAAAGTCCACTGTGATATGAGTGTCACATCACAGCCTACCGAGCTCCCACAAGTGTAGGAAGTAAGAATCCTGGAAGAAAGTCCCTGCAGCCACATCTTAGGACATGTGGTGTTCTTGACATTCCTTTCTGGGAGTTCCTAGCCCAGCTGCACCTCCACAGCCCATTTCCAGAAGTCCCCTGGCATTATATAAGAAAATAGCACCTTCCAGATACCTCGCCTGCCCCACCCCAGCATCTGCCCTCTCTGCCAGTCAATCCTTCTCTCCGGGAGGGGCACTCAGCCACCTGCTCCTTGCCTGTCAGGTGGTCTGGGGCAGGAAGGCAGCAGATGCCCTCCAGCCATCACCACCTCAAAATCAGTCACTTGTCACCATCAGGTGGGATGGTGCGCTCACCCCTTGTGCCTTCATATTCAGATCCCTGACAGCACCCCACGGCCTGACAGCATACCCTAAAAACAGCCTGTGTCCCTTTTAGGCCAGGCCTGGTCCCTCAGAGACAGTAAGGACATCCTTCAGTCAATCCACAAAAGTACACATGCAAACGTGCACGCACACACACCCTCCTCGGCCATCACCCTCACCCTCCACTCCCTCACCGTCAGCCTCTCGGTCAGACACAGCACCCCTCATGGCCATTCCGTCATTCCATTTTGCATGTGCAAGTGCCGTCGCCCAGCACACATCCCTCCGAGTCAGCCAGCAGGGCCACCCTGCCAGCGCCCTTCTCCTCCACCACTTTCCCCTTAGTGCATCCTCATGCCTCACATCGTTAAGAGTGGGGGACCCCTTCATGGCTAGGACACACATACAGCCCCTCAGCATGATCACCTCTCCCCACATCCCTCACCTAAGAAATCGCATAAAGCTTGAAGCCAAACATGAGAGCAAATGAATCCCACTCCCAAGCATCCAGGGGAATCCACTCCCACTGTGGTGTTCTGTGAGGCAGCAGGCACACCAGGCTGCCCACCAGGAAGTGGAAGCCAGAGAAGAAGGGTGGGGTGGGGCAGTGGCAGATTACAACCTGGCATGGGCCCTGCCTGGGGCCTCCGGGTGTCCATCACTCTCTCACCAAAGAGTGCTTAGAACTGGGCCTGCTGTGCACTCGGCTGGCTTCAATAGCTATAAATAATAGCCATACTCGCTAAACTCCAATTGCCCAAGTCGGTGGGCCTGAGAGACCACCTAGTGTCTTGTTCCAGTCTACTTATCCTCACTTCTCCCCTCCTAATAGAGAAACTGAGGCTCTGAGAAACCAGGTGCTTGCCACAGCTTGCACAACCATTTACGGGTGGTGATGCACCCCAGCCTCCTGCCCAAGTGCCTTCCCATCACCTCCCTTAGACCACGCAGAGAGCTCCAAATGCAGGGGAAAAGAGGGCTCTGCCCCTTGCACCCTTGACATAGAAGCTAAACAGGGACCCCAGCTCCCTCCCCCATCCTCATCCTTCCAAAGAAAAAGAAGCATTGCAACCTTGGATGGCTCCTACCTCTCAAAGGCTCCCAGTGGAACACGCAGCCCTGGGCTCTGGGACCTGGTGGTGAGGTGACTGCTGCCCTACAGAGCCCACGAGCTCTAGAACTGTTAACAGTCTTGTCTTGCTTAATCGCCCTTTCCGTTCCCCAGCGAGCCAATCTCTGTGCTCATCTACAGGACTTCCTGTGGAAGCGACCACGGGCGGCCCTTTCACAATTTTGCCTGGCACCCCCAGGCATCCCTGCCCTGATTGGTGTCTTGAAGTGGAGAATGCTGGAGCTGGCAGGGAGGCCTTCCTAAACAGAGGCTCCGAAGAGTGAGATGGACTGCTCAAGATCACCTAGCCCTTAGTGGCACAGCCAGGACTGGGCCTGAGTCTCTGGTTGCCAAGGCCATGCCTTATCCCAGACAGCAGCAGGTTGATGAGCTCAGCCGTGGCTGAAGTTAAGTATATCAGATGCCCCAGGAGAACTGCCCACTCTGCCTCACTTCAGGCCCTCACTCTCAGACAGTGTCTTTGAGCCTCAGGGGAGGCTTTATATCTAAATCACCTTTTAGGGAACAATCTAATCTGATACCAAAATACATTGTAGAGCTACAGCCATCAGAACGGTGTGGAATTGGAGCATGACTATAGATGGATGAATCAGTGGAACAGAATAATGAATAGACAGAAATAGACTCGAATATCTGTGGGAATTTAGTGTATCAAAAAGGCATCATTTCAAATCATTGGAGAAGAGATAGTTTATTCAATAAACTGTGTTGGGAGAATGGGCTAGGTATCTGCAAAAAACAAAGTTAGAGCTCTAACTCTAAAAGCATTCCAGATGGATAAAAGCATAAGCATTTTAAAAATCAAAATCACACAATTATATGTTGTTTGGGATTTACTTCAAAAGTATTGAAGAGTGGGGAGAATAGGTAGGACATAGATTAAACAAGCCTGGCTCTGGCCCTATTCTGATCCCTGCTGGAATTGATGAGGGTACCGTGGGCTCATTATGTTCTTCTACTTTTCTGTATGTTTGAACAAATGCCATAAGAAATCATGGCATAGTTCATTTGCCATGGTTGCAGAAGAAGGAGGGAAAGAAAAGGAAGAAAGAAGGGTGGGAAGGAAGGAAGGAAGGAAGGAAGGAAGGAAGGAAGGAAGGAAGGAAGGAAGGAGGAAGGAAGGAATGGAGGGAGGGAGGGAAGGAGGGGGGAAGGAAGAAAGAGAGAGAGAAAGAAAAAAGAAAGAAAGAAGAAAGAAAGAAGAAAAAGAAAGGAAGGAAGGAAGGAAAGAAGAAAGAAAGAAAAAGAAAGAAGGAAAGAAAGAAAGAAAGAAAGAAAGAAAGAAAGAAAGAAAGAAAGAAAGAAAGAAAGAAAGAAAGAAGAAAGAAAGAAAGAAAGAAAAGAAGAAAGATCTGAAAGAAAGATCTGTCATGGGATAGCCTGGGTGTGGTGGCTCATGCCTGTAATCCCAGCACTTTGAGAGCCTGAAGAAGGAGGATCGCCTGAGCCCAGGAATTCAAGACCAGTCTGGACAACATGGTGAGACTCCGTCTCTATTAAAAAAAAAAAGAAGAAGAAGAAGGAGAAGAAGGAGGAGAAGAGGAGAAGGAGGAGGAGGAGGAGGAAGAAGAAGAAGAGAAAGAAGAAAAAAAAGGGAAGAAAGAGATCATGGGATAATTTTTAAATAATCTTCAATTAGGCAAGGCCCTTCCAGATATATCACAAAGCATTAGAAGCCACAAAAGAAAATATTGAGTCATTCAACCATACGGAAATTTTAAAAAATAAATAAAACTGAATGGCAATAAAAGGTCACCATTGACAAGTCAAGTCAAAAGGCAAATAAACTGTGAAAAAATACTCACATATCATAGAAAATAAGTTAATTTCCTCCCTCGGTAAAGAACTCTTACAGATCAATGAAAGACCAATAATGCATTAGAGAAACTGGCACCATATATGAATAAATAATCCATGGAAAAATAAATATCAATGGATTTAAACATATGAAAAATGTTTATAAAAATAATCCATTGAGATATCAATGTAGTTTTATTCAGCTATTCAATTAGTAAGACCAAAAAAGTGATATATTAGATCATAAAGGATGTAGGAAACACATTCACACAATATTGGCAGGAATATAAACTGGTACACCTTTTATGAAAAGAAATGTATAATATCTGTCAACATTTAAAATGCAAAAATCTTTCTACCCAGCAATTTCACTTTCAGTCATTGGTTCCACAGATGATATACAATATGACAGTATGGAAGGATATTCATTACAGCATTGTGTGTAGTAGCAAAGGATTGGAAATGATCTAAATTTCCATCAGTAGGGAGCTGGTTAAATGAGCTCTGATACATCTGAACATTGGCATACTCTGCACCCATGAGGAAAATGAGAAAGATCCAGGTGAACTGATATGGAATGACCTTCAAGATATTGTGTCATATGAAAAAAGTAAGGTGCAGAACAGTGAGGATAGTGTGCTTTTTATGAAGAAAAAAGTATATGTGTGTGTATGAAATATATGCAATAGATAAGGGCCATGATATAGTTAGGTTTTATGTCCTCACCCAAATCTCATCTCGAATTATAATCCCTATGTGTGAAAGGAGGGAAGTGTTTGGATTATGGGGGCAGTTTCCCCCATGCTGTTCTTGTAACAGTGAGTGAATTCTCACGAGATCTGATGGTTTTATAAATGGCAGTTTTTCCTGCGCTTATATAATTTCTTCCCCTGCTGCCATGTGAAGAAGTTCCTTGCTTCCCCTTCACCTTCCACCGTGATTGTAAGTCTCCCGAGGCCTCCCCAGCCATGTGGAACTGTGAGTTCATTAAACCTCTTTCCTTTGTAAATTACCCAGTTTCCGGTATTTCTTTATAGCAGTGTGAAAATGGACTAATACAGGCCAGGTGAGGTGGCTCACGCCTGTAATCCCAGCACTTTCAGAGGCTGAGGCAGGCAGATTGCTTGAGCCCAGGAGTTAAAGACCAGCCTGGGCAACAAGGTGAAACTTTGTCTCTATAAAAAAATAAACAAAATTAGCCAGGCATGGTGGCGCATGCCCGTAGTACCAGCTACTCAGGAAGCCAAGGTGGGAGGATCGCCTGAGCGCTGGAGGTCCAGGCTGCACTGAGCTCTGATTGCACCACTGCACTCCAGCCTGGGTGGCAGAGTGAGGTCCTGTCTCAAAAAAAGAAAAATAATAGATAAGCACACACATTCATATATGTTTGTAAATGCATAGAATATTTCTGACAGGATATACAAGAAACTAGTCAGAGTTGGGCTGGATAGAAGTGTTGGGATGGAGGAGGGGGGCAGATTTATGTTTCACTCTTTACTTTTAATGTATTTTATGTTTTTACTATCTGTGTACATTACTTATTCAAAAAGAAACTTAAAAATAGTGTGTACATATACAAAGAGAGACTGATGAAGGAAACATGGTAAAATGTTAACATTTAAGAACAATGGTAAAGGATATATGGGGATTATTTTATTATATTTGCAACTTTTCTGGATGTATAAGATTATTTCAAAACAAAAAGTTTTTAAAATTAACAAATTTAATTTATAAAAAAATGAATATTATCACAACCAACTATCTGAGGACATTGATACTCAGAGAGTTTCTGAGGCTTTATATAAGCACTCATTTATTTTTTATTATTATTATTTTTGAGACACGGTCTCACTCTGTTGCTTAGGCTAGAATGCAATGGCACAGTCACAGCTCACTGCAGCCTCCCGGGCTCAAGTGATCCTTACACCTCAGCCTCCCAAGTACCTGGGATTATAAACATGTACCACCACACCCAGCTAATTATTGTATTTTTAGTAGAGATAGGGGTTTCACCATGTTGCCCAGGCTGTTCTGGAATTCCTGGACTCGAGTGATCCACCTGCCTCAGCCTCCCAAAGTACTGGGATTACAGGCACAAGCTACCGCACCCGGCTTATTTATTCAACAAATGTTTATTAAGCACTTCTAGGTGCTGGACACTGTGCTACGAAATACAAAATGTAGAAAGTGTAGAATAAGAAAATGTAGAAAACATGAAAATGTAGAAAACTGTAGGGAAAACAAGCCATATGTAATATAATGCCAAACAGTGGTAATTGTTTTGAAGAAAAGCAAAGCAGACAAGGGCTAGAATGGTGGTGGGAGGTGTATTTTAGATGAGGTGCTCAGGGGAGGCCTGAGGAGGTGATGCTGGAAAGAACAAGTGAGAAATAAGATCTGGAAGAAGAGGGCAGAGGCAGGGCAGAGGCAGAGCAAACAGCGAATGCCGAGGCCCCGAGGCAGGAGCAGGCTTTGTGTGCAAGAGAAACAGTGAGGAGAGCCCGTGGCAGGAGCACGCGGGGGAGGGAAGTGCGGGCTGGCAGCGGAGACGGAGACAGAGGTAACAGGCAGGACCCGTAGACCATATGGGCCCATTTGGAGGGCGACACGAACCGACTTAGGTTTGAAAGGGATCCCCTCCCTGCCCCCCGCTGCTTTCATTCTGGAGAAGAGACTGTACTAGGCAAAAGCAGCAGCAGGGAGACCCGTGAGGAGTTAACACAATCCAGACAAGAGACAGTTGCTTGGCCACGGAGGGCAGGGGTGGAGGTCAGGATGAAAGGTAGCCGGACTCGGGATATGTGCTGAAAATAGGACCAATAGGGCTTGCTGCTGTATTTGGGCAAATGCAACAAATCCAGGACCTTCATTCCAGCAAAGGACTCTCTCCACTCCTACAAAAACAGAGTGAGGTTGGATTTTTAAGACCCAGCCCTCAGGATCTCAAGGCATCCTCAGTTTATTTGTCTCCCAACCCTCACCGGCCCTGCTCCCCACCATGGAAATAAAAGGGACATGGAGAAGGCAAGAGTGGTCACACCCTCTCGGGTGGAGCCAGAGTGCCAAGGAGTCCTGCAGGTGGTGAGAACTCAGCTTGGCCTTGTCCTCGGCACCAGCACCAGGGAAAAAACCTGCCAGGACATACCAAGTGCTAGGAAAAAAATTAGATCCAGGCACGTTTGGAAACGATGGAGCTAACTGAAAAATACAATGTTACTGAACTGAAAAACAGTGTGCTCAGAACTAGGTTTTGCAAAAATAGAATCAATGGACAAAGATCAAGAGCAGTGAAACTGTTTTACAATTAGGAAAGTTTTCACACTCACTAATTTTTAATTCCTTACAAGTGCTTGAAGACTCTTCACAGCTTGTTAAATCCTGAAGCAAGATATTCTCCATTCT